GAGGTTCTTACCCACGAAAGCTTATGCTCCCAATACTTCTGTTAGTCTTAAAGGTGCCACAGGACCCTCTGTTGCTTTTTACAGATTCAGATTAACACGGCTACCCCTCTGATAAGGGAGAAAAACAATCACCAGAACCATTACTCTCTACAAAGCTATCTGCTTTTGTCACAGTACGACACGACCCTCTCATAAGCAAACTAGTGAAATGTGGTCTAATGAAATTACTATAAAGTGGGTGCATAACTGGTTGAAAGACTGTAGTCAAAGAATAGTTATCAATGGTTTGTCATCAAACTTGGAGAGCAATTCTAGTGGGGTCCAAAAGAGGTCAGTCCTTGGTCAGGTACTATGGAGAATATGCTTATAAAATTTGCAGCAACAACAAACTGCGTGAGGTTGCCAGCACTTTGGATTAGAGTAGAATTAGATTAGAATAGAATTCAAAATGACCTTACCAATTTTCCAAATTGTCCTGAAATCAACAAGATGAAATTCAATAAAGAAAAGTGCACAGTATTTCACTTCAGAAGTAAAAATTAAATGCACAACTACAAAATGCAGAGAATAGACTGGGTGGTAGTTTTGCTCTGGAAAAGCCTTCCAAGGGAAGTTGTGGAGTCTCTATCATTGGAGGTTTTTAAGAACATGCTGGACAAACACCTGTTAGGGATGGTTTAGGTTTACTTGGTCCTGCCTCAGTGGAGGGGGCTTGACTTGATGATTTCTTGAGGTCTTTTTCAGCCCTACATTGCTATGATTTTTTGAAGGAATTTTGAAAATGAGATGATGAAATAAAAATCTGGCAGCATCTAAACTTCAAGGCTTAGCACTGAACAAAAGCACTACCTGAACTAAGCCAGGGAACAAAATTTGGCTCAAAAGCTCTCAGACATTTGGAACAGTTCAGATTGTAGCAGAAACTCTCAGATCCTGACTAGTGGAGACCCCAAAAGGTCTTATTTGGGGGACTTGAGTTCATCTTCAATATTTCCCAGGACAACAGAGAATCTGGGACCTGAGCCCTCGCCTTCACAGAGAACTTCACACACATGTGCTGGAAGATTGATCAGGCCCCCTCAGAGACTTGATCTTTAGAAATTGCTCAGGACTATTTAAACTGAATTGATAAGGGACATATAAGTGCAAATAATTTTAAGGAATTCAATGTTTATTTTGAATTCTAGATAGACAGAGAGACAGACACACACATGCTGGTTGGTTATAATTTAAGTTTTAATCTTTTATTATAAAGAAAGGGAAATGTGGAGTGGTTATGGAGTTCCTGGTCCTCCACAGTTCCACAGTAGACCATGATGAGTTGCATCGGGAGTTTAATAAAGAGAAGGACTTATTGGGTCAGGGAGTTCTCTAGTTACTGCTTAATGCATGGCACCCTAAGCGTAAGTCCTGACACTATAGAAAGAAGAGACCACAAGAGCTGAAAGCAGTGGTGATGAAACAAGGTTCTGAAGAGAGAAAGATCCTCAGGAGAGAGGGCAAGGCCAAAAGGCATTCTGTAAGGATACAGGGAGGGGAGATCTATCCAGCTGAAATGAGATTTTTAAAAATGGTGTACGCATTTTTAATTCCATAAAATGTAATGTGATCTATTTAACTAGAATACAAGAAAATCATATTTTCTAAATAAATTCTAGTTAAAATATTCTTTTAAAATTTGTCTTGCTTCTTAAATCAGAATTAAAAAAAATTATAGTCCTTTAGAACAACCAATAAGACACATTTACAGCTCAATCCATCCCTCCCGGAAAACTTATTTAAATATACTCCATTGTTACCAGTAAGCATAATATTATCATAATATTAATATGAAATGGTTAGTAGCCCTTAGATTTAACTTAACTTGCTCTTTGCAGAAGATTAATTAGAGCTGATAAAAAATCAGAAATCCATACTGTACCTTCCATGCAAGTTGCTTAGTGTCATAAAAACCTCCTAAATCTAAAAACTGTCTGATTGTTTCAAGTGGTGGCTGGGCACCATACTCCTCTGGTATTGGCATATTCAGATCATCAATAAACATTATCACCTGTGAATAAATATAACCACATTAGAAACCATATCTGAGTTTTGTTAAACTTAGCTTTACTTATTATTACAGAGTATTAAAATGAAGTGACTGTTTTAGGCACATAATTATGAACCATCTACATTGTTTGTTTTTTTTATCTAAAACACACATTAATTAGTGTACTTGCACAAATGACCTAGTATATGTCATTATATGAGCAGCTCAGATGTAAACTGCAAGGTACAGGAAGCTGTTATATCTCATCCAAATGGAAACAATGAGAACGCTTTAATATTAAGAAACATAGAAAGCATAAGAATGATCATACTGTGTCAGATCAATGGTCCATCTAGCACAGTATCCTGTCTTTTGACAGTGGACAGTGCCAGATGTTTCAGAAGGAATGAACAGAAAAGGGCAATTTATCAAGTGATCTATCCCAGTCCCAGCTTCTGACTGTCAGAGGTTTAGGGGCACCCAAAGCATGGGATTTCATCCCAGATGATCTGCCTAATAGCCATTGATGGACCTGTCACCCATGAATTTATCTAATTCTTTTAACCCAGTTTTACTTTTGACCTTCACAACATCCCCTGGCAATGAGATCCACAGGTTGACTTTGTGTTGTGTGAAGTACTTCCTTACGTTTGTTATAAACCTGCTACCTATTGATTTAAATGGGCGACCCTTGGTTCTTGTGTTATGTGACAAGGTAAATAAGACTTTCTTATTCACTTTCTCTACACCATTCATGATTTTATAGACCTCTATCATATCTCCCTTCAGTCATCTCTTTTCTAAGATGAACAGTTCCAGTCTTTTTAATCTCGCCTCATATGGAAGTTGTTCCATATCCCTAATCATTTTTGTTGACCTTCTATGTCCCTGCTCCAACTCTAATATATCTTTTTTGAGATGGGGTGACCAGAACTGCACACAGTGTTCAAGGTGTGGGTGTACCATGAATTTATATAGTGGCATTATGATATTTTCTGTCTTATTATCTATTCCTTTCCTAATGGTTCCTAACATTCTGTTAGCTTTTTTGACATTGAACAGATGTTTTCAGAGAACTATCCACAATGACTCCAGGATATCTTCCTTGAGTGGTAACAACTAATTAAGACCCCATAATTGTGTATGTATAGTTGAGATTCTGTTTTCCAATGTGCATTACTTTGCACTTATCAGCATTGAATTTCATCTGCCATTTTGTAACTCCCTTTGTAACTCTTTGCAGTCAGCTCTGGACTTAACTATCTTGAGTAATTTTGTCTTGTCTGCAAACTTTGCCACCTTACTGTTTACCCCTTTTTCCAGGTCACTTCAGAATATGTTGAACAGCAGTTGTCCCAGTCTATACCCTTGGGAGACCTCATTATTTACCTCTCCACTGTGAAAACTGACCATTTATTCCTACCCTTTGTTTCCTATCTTTTAACCAGTTATTGATCCATGAGAGGACCTTCCCTCTTATCCCATAACTTCTTATTTTGCTTAAGAGCCTTTGGTGAAAGACCCTGTCAAAGGCTTTCTGAAAGTCCAAGCATATTATATCTGCTGGATCACCCTTTTCCACATGTTTGTTGACCCCCTCCAAGAATTCTAATATATTGGTGAGGCATGATTTCCCTTTATAAAAGCTGTGTTGACTCTTCCCCAACACATTGTGTTCATCTGTGTGTCTGATAATTCTGTCCTTTACTATAGTTTCGACCAATTTGCCTGGGACTGAAGTTGGGTTTACGGGCCTGTAATTGCTAGACGCGCCTCTGGAGCCTTTAAAAAAAAAAAAGTGCTACATTAGTTATCCATTAGTCATCTGGTACAGAGGGTGATTTAAGTGATAGGTTACATACCACAGTTAGTTGTTCTGCAATTTCATATGTGACTTCCTTCAGAACTCTTGAATACCATGTGGTCATGGTGACTTATTGCTGTTTGATTTATTAATTTGTTCCAAAACTTCCTCTACTGACACCCCAATCTGGGACAGTTCCTCAGATTTGTCACCTAAAAAGAATGGCTTGGGTATGGGAATCTCTTCATATTCTTTGTAGTGAAAACCAATGCAAAGAATTAATTTAGATTCTCCACAACAGCCTGGTCTCTGAGTTCTCCTTTAGCACCTCAATTGTCCAGTAGCTCCACTGACAGGCTTTGGCAGGCTTCCTGCTCCTGATTCATTTAAATAAAATTGCTGTTGTTTTTTGTGTCTTTTGCTAGTTGTTCTTCAAATTCTTTTTTGGCCTGCCTAACTATACTTTTATACTTGACTTGCCAGAGTTTATGCTCCTTTCTATTTTCCTCAGTAAGATTTAACTTCCAATTTTTAAAAGATATATTTTTGTCTCTAACTGCCTCTTTTACTCTGTTGTTTAGCCCTGGTGACATTTTTCGGTCTTCTACTTCTTTTTTTAAATCTGGGGTTTAAAGCCTCTATTATGTTTTTTTTTTAAATTTCCATTAATCTTGCAGGCATTTCACTCTTGTAACTGTTCCTTTTAATTTCAATTTAACTAGCCGCCTGTGGAGTTCCCCTTTTTTGAAGTTAAATGCTATTTGTGCTGGTTTCTTTGATATCCCTCCCAAAGATGTTAAATTTAGTTACATTATGGTGGCTATTACCTAGTGGTTTAGCTATATTCACCTCTTGGACCAATCCTGTGCTCCACTTAGGCCTAAGTCAAGAACTGCCTCTTCCCTTCTCAGTTCCAGGCCTAGCTGTTTCAATAAATAGTCATATTGAGTGAGATCATCCCTTCCCACAATAAAACCTGCAGGAAGCAGGTCTGGGAAAGGAAGTCACTCCTTCTTCCACAACTGCACAGGGCCAGGCAAATTACATTTGACTTTACAAACAATGAGAGGTTTCACAGCTATGGAAGAACATGTGAGGAGGAGAAAATACAACATACTATGTATTTTGTTAGTTCCTATTTGGATTTTTAAAATAGTTATTGTAATGTATTAGATTTGTGGATGGTGTCCAGAGGGGAGGCCAGGGTGGTGGCCAGCAATGGAAACAGCGACAGCTCATTGTGAAAGATTCATTGGCATAGTCAGCTAATTGAGTAGGCTGGCTAGCTGGCTGAAACATCTTGGAAGCTTTGTATTTATTTTTGTAGCTACTATAACATTCATAAATTAATGGGATTGAATAAATAAGGTTACCAATACATTACTTATTAAGAATACCTTATCTCCGAATTCCTGCCATTACATATGAAATACTACACTAGTAATTGAAAAGAAGCACAACAGTAACAGATAAAAACAATAATCCAAACAGCCTAATACACACATTAGAGAGACAAGGGGATGAGGTAATGTCTTTTATTGGACCAACTTCTATTAGTGAGAGAGACCAACATGGCTACAACAGTATTTAACAGGAGTTAGACAGACACACTTTTGAAATAAATCAAATAGTTCTGTCAATCTTTTTAGTGTTTATTTTAAGCTCTGTCGGCATTTTTAAGCATTGGTAGAGTAGAACACTGTTTTACCTGTTTGGATTTTGGTGCACCAAGAGTATCTTTACTTTTTAGTATTAATTTCTGACGAACCCTTGCCTGTATTTGGGCAGCACTGGTGTGGGCACCACACTGTATTGTGGAAACTATAACACCCTTGATTCTTTCAGATGATGGAGCAATGTCACCAGTTTCACTTGCAGAATATGGCCCCTTCGTTGATTTCAAATCTGTGTCATATACAAAATTAAGGGTCAGAATGATATCTGATCAACAGTGGATCTACTCTCCTCATCATTCTAAGATGCTATTAATATTGCATACTGTTATTACAGCAAATATTTTCTTTTCATATCACTACCAAAAATATAAGTCAAGTCAAAGTGCATATTGTCTTCATATTAGTGTGGTATTTTAAGCATTGCCAGCATTTTTAAGCATGATAGAGTGGAACACTGTTTGGATTTTGGTACAATTCAAATGTGCTTCTACAATTTAACAGTAATTTTATAGTTTTGAATTCAAAGCATCTCTTTGCCTGTGTATCTTAAAAAAAGCATATTTAAAACATAACTTAAAAATGTTTTCTTCTCCTGAAAGAGATAAAGGAAGTTTACTGCTAAGCTACTGTGTAAAATATATAAATTATTTATTCAAAAACTGATATTCCAAATGTAGAGATTACATTAAAAAAGTTTTTAAAAATTCTTAACTGTGGAAGAAGACCAACAAACCAGCTAATTCTCCACCAGAATTACTCATGACTGTGGTTCCCAAACTTCAGCAACCCGAGGACCTCCATTTTGATTTAAAATGTTTCGGGGACCCCCAAGCCCTCCCACTCAGCCACAGGCCACACCCCCACTCCACCCGTTCCCCCAAAGCCCCACCCCACCTCTTCCCACTCACTTCATTCCCCCCTCCCTCTGTCACTCACTCTCCCCCACCCTCACTCACTTTCACCAGGCTGGGGCATAGGGTGACCAGGTGCCCGGTTTTCAACCTAGCCATTAAAGGTCAGTTTGGCAGTGCTGACTGGAGCCGTCAGAGTCCCTTTTCGACCAGGTGTTCCGATTGAAAACCATTAAAGGTCAGGTCGGCAGTGCTGTGGCGCTAAGACAAGCTAGTCCCTACCTTTCCTGGCACTGCACTGTACCCCAGAAGCGGCCAGCAGGTCTGGCTCCTAGGTGCGGGGGGCATGGGCCTCCACGCGCTGCCCTTGCCCTGAGCACTGGCTCCACACTCCCATTGGCCAGTTTCCAGCCAATGGGAGCTGGAGGGGCAGTTCCTACAGGCGAGAGCAGTGCACGGAGCCTCTTATCCCCCCGCCGAGGGAGGGGGAATGTAGTGAGTGGGGCCAGACCCTTGGGGAAGGAGCGGGGCAGGGGTGGGGAGGTGGGGCTAGGGTGTTCAGTTTTGTGCTATTAGAAAGCTGGTAACCCTAGTGGGGTAGGATTGCAGAAGGAGATGCTGGCTCTGAGAGGAAGTTTGGGTACAAGAGGGGGTTCAGGGTGTGGGCTCTCCAAAGGAGTTTGGGTCAATGGGAGCTGCGCAGTCGGTGCTCAGGGCAGGGACAGCACGCGGAGATCCCTTGCCTCCCCCACTCTGAGGGGCTGCAGGGATGTGCTGGACACCTCTGGAAATGGCACGGAGCCAGGGCAGATAGAGAGCCTGCCTTAGCCCTGCTGCACCACCAGACTTCTAGCACCTAAAATTTCCCGGTTTGGCTTCAGTAGCCTCTGGGAGATAGAGCTGTTCCCCAGCATGCAGGCACTGGGAGGGAGGGGGAGGAGTTGATCAGCGGGGCCGACGGACCCCTTGGAGTACCGTCGTGGACTCCAGTTTGAGAAACGCTGACTGATGACGTATTTTCAGTTGTATATGAAGAATGAAAAGCTGTGAATAGCAACTCTACTGAATTGTGACAGAGAACACTGAAACTGGATATCCATTCTAGCCTGTATGCACCTCGTTTCAGATAGCAGCCATGCACATTTCTGGAATTAGAACTTGACAACCTCAAAGAAATTGCAAAACAGGTAGCAGTTTTAATAGAAGAGACATTCCAGAACCCTAGAGGAAATGTGCTGCAACATTACTTAAAGCTGAGGGACATTAGTGACTTTGCCAAATGCTGCATTTGGTGGTGCATACTTTTAAGGTGGTGGTATTTTACATCCTCAGAACTCCATAGCCACAGTGTCTCTAACCTTCCATTTCAGGTAAGGTTTTTGGGAAAGTTGTAGTGAAGCACCTCCTATGTCATCTGGAATTCTCAGATTTATTTGATCTGTAATAATAATCCCTGCGTCCAGAGAACATTATGGAAAATGATACAATCTTGCTGGCTGATAATTTCCTTCTAGCAATGGACAACAGTCATACACATTTTTTTAGCTCTTTCAGTAGCATTTGATACTGTTAGCCGTGAGGTTTTATTGACTTGTCTGTGAATCATGCTGGGATGGATGAAATTACACGTAAGTGGTTCCATTCTTTTTTGTTCCCGCACAGTGGTCCAAGAACATGTTGTTGGGCAACTGCCTAGTTAACTGCAGGGCTTTCTAATGCATGGCTACTCAGGATTATTTTCTGTCATCCCTTCTGTTCAACATTTATGTGAAGTCATAGGAGGAGATAGTGAAGAAGTTTACACCTTAGTGCAATCAGTATGGAGATGACATGCAGCTTGACATCTACCCAAAAAAAAAAAAAAAAAAAAAAGGAAAAAAAAGGCAACCGGTGCACTACATGAACTTTGGAAGTTACACCTAGTGCAGCAGTGCTTAGGAGAGTATGGCACAAGAAAAATACCACACAAACTGTCCGAACACTGCACTAAGTTCTTGTTCACTTCTAGGTGCAATTTAAGATGTATAATTCCCTACAAGATTTATTTCTTAGCTATCTCCCTGTGCTCTGTCAAGACACCTGAGATCAACCAGCATGCTCTCACTGTGATTCCCCATATATATTTGAGTATCTAAGGGACTAGAGCAGGGGTGAGCAAACTTTTTGGCCCAAGGGCCACATCTGGGTGGGGAAATTGAATGCAGGGCTATGAATGTAGGACTGGGGCAGGGGGTTAGCGTGCAGGGTGTGAGAAGGGGTGTGGTGTGCAGGAAGGGGCTCAGGGCAAGGGGTTCGGGTGCAGGAGGAGTGTGGGGTGTACGACAGGGCTCAGGGCAGGGGTTAGGGTGCAAGAGGGGGCTCAAGGCAAGGGGATGGGGTGCAGGAGGAGTGCGGCAGGAGGGGTGTGGCGGGGGCTCAGGGCAGGGGGTTGGGGTGCAGGAGGAGTTCTCAGGGAAGGGATTCGGGGTGCGGGCTCCGGGCTGGCGCCACTTACCTTGAGTGGCTCCGGGGTGGCAGCAGCACACAGCAGGGCTAAGGCAGGCTCCCTGTCTGCCCTGGCCCCCGCGTCGTCCCCAGAAGCGACCAATGGAAGCTTCAGGGGAGGTACCCGCAGGTGAGGGCAGTGTGTGGAGCCCTCTGCCCCCCCCCCAGGGGCCACAGGGACATGGTGCTGGCCGCTTCTGTGGGCGACGCGGGGCCAGGGCACACAGGGTGCCTGCCTTAGCCCCGCAGCGCCACGGGGTTGGCAATCCCACGTAGTTTGCCCACCTCTGGACTAGAGGCAGGAATCTCAGTGCTAGATTTTACTTCCTCTGTTAGTACTAAAGAAAGTAAGCTCATTGACTTTCAGCTCAGGTGGTGCATGGCTGATCTATTTAACCTGGCTTTTGCGTGAATGAGTGATTGTGGTCTTTATTTCATCCCTGCGGGTGAATCTACTATAGCAGTGGTTCCCAAACTTGTTCCGCCGCTTGTGCAGGGAAAGCCCCTGGCGGGCCAGGCCGGTTTGTTTACCTGCAGTGTCCGCAGGTTCGGCCGATCGCAGCTCCCAGTGGCCATGGTTCGCCACTCCAGGCCAATGGGAGCTAGGGTGATCATATGTCCCGATTTGATAGGGACAGTCCCTATTTTTGGGTCTTTTTCTTATATAGGCTCCTATTACCCCCCACCCCCCTCCCGATTTTTCACATTTGCTGTCTGGTCACCTTACTGGGAATCGCGATTGGCTGAACCTGCGGATGCGGCAGATAAACAAACCAGCCCGGCCCACCAGGGGCTTTCCCTGCACAAGCGGCGGAACGAGTTCGGGATCCACTGTACTACTGCATACTTAGATAAATTTTAAATAAATACATTTTTGTGCTGTATATTTCTTGCAAATTTTATATAAGTGATCAGAAATATCTTTATAGATGCACTTAGATGCAAAATTCAAAAAAGACTTTGCTGAAGTCTACTTGCATTTTTCAAACAGATTTTCACACCCATAAAATGTAACAACCACACACATAGTTTACAAGCTTTGTCCCTCCAATCAAATTGAAATAAAATAGTGATGAAAAGCTTGGTTTATTTTGGTGTCACTCATGTAGAAGCTTATCATGGTTTGATTTCTTGAGCTAATTTTGATGCCTGTATTCTCAGTTCTGCTACCTATGTCACATAAATATTCAAATGTTTATGTTTATATTTATAATAAAAGTACAGTACTAGGATAGAGCTTGCTACGAATTAATACAATTTTACAGTCAATTTTAGTTGTGAAGGCCAGATTATCAGACAGACTTCAGCTCAACCTCTTTTTCTGCAGGTACAGTTTGCACCCACAGTTCAAATGGTTAGACAATTAACTGCCCCCAACATTTTGCTCCAAAGTTTAATTAGAGATGCAAAATTATTCCAATAAAATTGGTCCTAAAACCTTTTAAAAATGAATGTCATCACATACCCAAGTCTCCAGTTGAGGGCCACACTCTCTTCTGAGCATCTTGGGGCATATCAAATGTTAGGTAACTGGAATTCTTTAACATGCTGATCAGGAAGACATGAGTAGGAAAAACACAATTGATTTTTGTAACTTAAGTGCCATGAAGAAATAATACAGAGTAATGAAATAAAACTTTTTTCTTCAGGATGAGAATTTATATATTGTTATTCAAAGTGCCATTGTGAGAACTATATCAACATTTTTCAGGTACTTCTCCTTTTGGTATTGAAAATAGTTTGCTCTCAGTGAAGACTATTATTACTTTTTAAAAAAAGTTTAATTTAAATTTTAACACGTTTTTCAATCTGGCCACATACAAAAATCTGGAAAATTTCTCATTACATGAAAAACAGGGTTTTTTAAAAATGTAAACTAATGGAATTTCACAAAACTCAAACAAATTCATCTTTGAGCTAAGAACAAGCATAAGTTATTTTGGCTAAAATATTACTTTTTTCCAGAAAGTGAAAGCACTTGAAAATGGGGGTTTAAAATAAAAATGCTGCCTCAACAGCACTATAAGTATAGTATAACTTACCACAATGCTATAATTAATGTCTATTCTTTATTCATTATCAATCCTAAGGAAAGTTTGACTATTACTTCCTATGATATTAAATACTGATGGAAAATGTAAAACTGGAAAGCCATCTACAACCTTGCTTTTTTAATTTCATTATGTAAGACGACATCTCCTAAAATTGTTCTGGATTTTACAAAGAATCCCCCTTGTTTCTGAAGTCTTTCAAGCATATTTTGAATCATGGCAGTCTTCCCAATACCAGAGTCGCCTAAAAAAACCCAAAGACACAGAGAATGGAGACACTTAAGCTCAAATTTTCATTAATAGGCATGGCAAAACTGTGTGCCAAAACATGAATTCATAATCTGCACACTATTACTGCTATTGCACATGTTAAATCACTGCTTGTTTTATACCTTGCAGTATTTTCTTAAATATACAAACGAGAAAAAATGATAAGAATATTATGTTTTAGAAAATGCTGCCACAGGGGAGCTGCGATGTTCAAGTTGGAATGTTTTCATTCTGTGCATGAGAGTACTCCTACCCAAGCTATGTCTGTTTTCAGCTCTCTCTTAACGGACAACTTAAGACCTGAAAGTCAAAGATTACATTCAAGTGTAGCTTTAGATTATATACTATCCCTACACATGGGGAAAAAGGAGCTGGGAAAGCAACAGTAGATACTGCAGATTCAGGAGTGAGTTTAGGGCTCATCCTCACAGTTTTTCTGGAAGTCAATTCATCAAAAGCTGTTTGAACGTTCTATTCATGGTTGCTATTCATCCACCATTTTGCTAAATGCTTTTTGTTGAGAACGGCTTAAATCCCATCATCTTTCTGTGGGACAGATTCTGTCACCATCACTGACATTGAGTAATACCTTTTGAGAGTAGTTCCACTGATTCTAACAGGGTATTTTGTGGAGTAAGGTACTACTCGACATGAGTAAGTGCGACAGAATCGGATACTGGAAGATTCGGATACCATCAGTCCTTTATTATGCATATGCTATATATTAGGTGTCAACTTATACTATTTTCAGCTTTTCCTATGTGGAGAAGGGGTTAATAAAGTATTAAATAAAACTTATCAAACAAAGCAAACTAGGCTAAAGGGAGTAAATGGATAGGAATTCCTATGTCTGTATTTTGTTTAAAATCTATTTGGATGTGAATAATTTATTTAACAGACTACAGTATTTTCTTTGTTTTAAGAAGTTAAGAGTTTGTTACCTGTGATAAGTACTGGATGTTTATTCATTAAAAGAAGGCTTGTTAGAAAAGAATAGCAAATTGTTTCCATATTGGGTATAAGCTTTAGAGTATCTCTTCTTCCAGGGTTCACATCTTTATTACTCCCAGATCTCAGGGAATCAGAAAATGATGTAGTCTCTGAATAAAAAAATAGATTGTTTACTTTTAATTTCTGATTTTTTAATCTTTGTATTGATTAAGGAAAGGACAGTTACCTGTTCCGTAACTGGCGTTCTTCGAGATGTGTTGCTCCTGTCTATTCCACAGTAGGTGTGCGTGCTCGCCATGTTCACCGGTGCCAGAAGTTTTTCCCTTAGCAGTACCCGTAGGAGGGGAGCACCGCTGAGACCCCTGGAGTGGCGCCTCTATATCGCGCTATAAGGGGAGCTGCGCACTCCCCCCACCCTCAGTTTCTTCTTGCCAGACAACTCCGACAGAGGGGAAGGACAGTGGGATGTGGAATAGACAGAAACAACACATCTTGAAGAATGCCAGTTACGAAACAGGTAACTGTCCTTTCTTATTCGAGTGATTGCGCCTGTGTATTCCACAGTAGGTGACTCCAAGCTATATCTGATGGAGGTGGGTAGGAGTTTAAAGGTTAGCAGGATGGAGTACCACCCTACCAAACCTGGCATCATCCCATGCTTGGGAGACGATCGAATAGTGCGAGGAAAAAGTGTGGACAGAGGACCACGTGACAACCCTACATATGTTCTGGATAGAGATGTGGGCTACATAGGCGGCCGACGAGGCCTGCGCTCTCGTAGAATGCGCCTTTACGATAGGTGGCAGGGGAACCCCTGCCAAGTCATAACACGTGCATCTGCACGAGGTGATCCAGCGGGAAAGGCGCTGGGTGGAGACTGGTTGCCCTCTCATACGCTCGAATGACGCAACGAACAGTTGCAAGGATTTCCTGAATGGCCTGGTTCGGTCCAGGTAAAAGGCCAGCACCCTACGTACGTCTAGCGTGTGTAGGCGGCATTCCTCGTTGGAGGAATGGGGCTTAGGACAGAGTACCAGTAAGAAAATGTCCTGATCGATATGGAAGGCGGAGACCACCTTGGGGAGAAACGCAGGGTGTGGGCGAAGCTGGACTTTATCCCTATGGAAGACCGTATATGGGGGTTCCGAGGTCAAGGCCCTAAGCTCTGAGATCCGATGGGCTGAGGTGATAGCCACCAAGAATGCCACTTTCCAGGACAGATGGGACCAGGAACATGTGGCCAAGGGCTCAAAGGGAGGACCCGTGAGGCGGGATAGCACTAGGTTCAGATCCCATTGCAGGACCGGGGCCCTGGCATAAGGAAATGTACGGTCTAGTCCCTTTAAAAAGCGGGAGGTCATTTCATGGGGAAAAAACCAAGTGACCCTGCACCGGAGGGTGAAAGGCTGAAATGGCCGCTAAATGTACCCTGACGGAAGCCAGAGCTAGACCTTGGGTCCTAAGGGACAGGAGGTAATCTAGAATAAGTTGGAGGGATGTGGATGACGCGGAGGCGCCCCGCTCCCCTGCCCACCTAGAAAACCTAAACCATTTGGCAAGATAGATCCGTTGTGTAGACGGCTTTCTGCTCTCCAGCAGAATTTGTCTGACATCCTCCAACCACCTTCCCTCCTCCTTGTTTAACCATGGAGCAACCACGCTATCAAGTGAAGCGCGGCCAGGTTGGGATGGAGAAGGCATCCCCTCTCCTGGGAGAGGAGATCCGCGTGGAGCGGCAGCCTCCACGGGGGGGCCGCTACAGTTGCAGAAGGGTCCCGTACCAATGCTGGCGGGCCCAATCCGGGGCTATGAGGATAACTCTCGACCTGTCTGCCTTTACTTTCTGCAGGACCTTGCCTATCAGTGGAAACGGTGGAAAGGCATAGAACAGTTGGCCTGACCACCGGAGGAGGAATGCGTCCGAGATCGCCCCCCTTTCTGCCCCTGCCCTGGAGCAGAACTGGGGACAGCGCTGGTTCTGGCAGTAGCAAAGAGGTCGACCCAGGAGCTCCCCACACTCAGAAGAGGTGACCTCCCAGTGGAGTGATCACTCGTATTGATGGGAAAATGTCCTGCTGAGGTGATGGGCTCGCACATTGCGTGCGCCAGGTAGGTGAAAGGACCGTAGGGAGATATTGAGGGCTATGCAAAACTCCCATAGGTCCGGGGCTTCCCGGCACAGGGCCAAGGAACGCATGCCCCCCTGCCTGTTGATGTAATACATCACGGTCGTGTTGTCCGTGAGGGCTCTGACCGCCTTCCAGCGAAGGTGCAAACTGAACGCTATGCACACCAGGCATACTGCCCTGAGTTCCCTGACCTTTATGTGCAGAGACAATTCCAAGATCGACCATCTGCCTTGGGTTTGAATGTTCCCTATATGGGCTCCCCAGCCCAGGTCCAAGGCATCCGACACCAGGTCTAGAGAGGGAGGGAGTTCCCGGAAGGGGATCCCATTTAGCATATTGCTCGGGAGAGACCACCATTGCAGAGCGGCCAAAACGTTGGGTGGCATCGTGACCACCTTGTCCAGGCTGTCCCGGGACTGGGAATACTGGAAGGCCAACCAGAGTTGGAGGGGCCTCATTCTGAGTCTGGCATGTCGCACCACGGACGTGCATGCTGCCATGTGACCTAGGATTTGAAGGCACACCCTTGCCTTCGTCACGGGGAAGGCCGTCGTCACGGGGAAGGCCGTGACCGAGACTATGAGACTTTTGAGTGTTTCGAACCTGTCCCAGGGAAGAGAGGCTGTGCCCTCTAGGTAGTCTAGCAGAGCCCCTATGAAGTGTATGCGCTGAACCGATACTAATGTGGACTTGGCCTTGTTCACCACTAGGCCCAGACCTGTGCATGTGGACAGCAGGAATTGCATCTGGGCCTGTACCTGGGACCGGGAGTTGCCCTTGAAGAGCCAATCGTCCAGGTAAGGGAAAATTTGCAGCCCATTCCTCTGGAGGTGGGCTGCCACCACTGCCATGCATTTGGTAAAAACCCTGGGGGCCATGGAAAGACCAAAAGGGAGGACCGCAAACTGGTAGTGGTCCCACCCTACCAGGAAGCGGAGGAAGCGCCTGTGACCCTTGAAAATATGGATGTGGAAATACGCATCCTGGAGGTCCAGGGACGCAAACCAATCCCCCGGGTCCAAGGAGGGGATGATGGAGGTCAGGGATACCATGTGGAACTTGTAACGGACCATAAATCTGTTGAGCTTCCGCAGGTCCAGAGCCCGCTTTTCGTCTTTGGGATCAGGAAATACCGGGAGTAAAACCCCTTGCCCTGAAATTCTACCGGTACCCTCTCCACCGCGCCCAGGTCGAAGAGGCGTGCCATCTCTTGGTTTAGAAGGGGGGCATGTTCCGGGTCCCCGATGTCCTCCCGGGGCAGGGGCTGGTGGAGGGGGGGGTGAGGCAAACTGCAACATGTAGCCCCTGGAAATCGTGCTGAGGACTCACTGGTCCGACATTATACAGGACCACTGCACTCGGAATGCAGATAAACGGTTGCAGAACACAAACTTTATTAACTGGGGGGCATCCGTGGCAACAGGCCCGGTGGCCCCCCACAAAGAGTCAAAACCGCCTCTTCCCCTGCCTCTTGCCCTTCGAGGGGCCTGGTTGTGGGGCCGAGCGGGACTGACGCTGAGACCTGCGTCTCTGCTCCCTCGGTTGCTTAGGAGGGAGTTCATATCTGCCCCTAGCGGGAGGAGCGGAGGTCTGCGGCCTACATTTGTCCTTCGCTGGCGGAACATATAGGCCCAGAGTTTGCAGGGTGGTACGGGAGTCTTTCATCCCATGCAGGCGAACATCGGTTTGGTCCGCAAACAACGCTTTTCCATCAAAGGGAAGGTCCTGCATCAGAGACTGGGAATCTGCAGACAGACCAGACAGGAGAAGCCACGACGCCCGTCGCATGGATATGGCCGAGGCCATAGAACGGGCTGCCGTGTCGGCCGTATCCGAGGCAGCCTGGAGGGCTGCTTTCACCGCTGCTGCTCCTTCTTCAACCAGAGCCTTGAACTCCTTTTTGTCCCGCTCTGGGAGAAGAGGCTTGAACTTCGGTAGAGACCCCCACAAATTAAAATCATAGCGGCTCAACAGGGCTTGGTGGTTGGCCACCCTAAGTTGAAAGCTCATGGAAGAATAAACCTTCCTGCCAAAAGAATCAAGTCTCCTGGTGTCTTTGTCCTTAGGGGTGGGTGCAGGCTGACCATGGCGTTCCCGATGGTTGACTGACTCCACCACCAAAGAGTTGGGTGCCAGGTGGGAGTACAGGTACTCATGTCCCTTAGCTGAACAAAGTACTTTCTCTCCGCTTTCTTGGAGATGGGCACCAAGGAAGCTGGGGTCTGCCACAGGGCAGTCAATATGTTGGCTACCCCTTGGTGGAGAGGTAGGGCCACACAGCCTGGTGCCGAGGAGGACAGCACATTGAAAAGGGTGTTCGACGGCTCCTCCATCTCCTCAGCCTGGAGTTGGAGATTCGAGGCTACCCTTTTGAGGAGCTCCTGATGAGCTTTAAAGTCCTCTTGTATAATAGATGGAGGGGTCATTATGGTCTCCTCCAGTGCCGGTGAGGGGGGCTGGTCCGGCTCCCAGGGCGTTGGGAGGTGCCAGTGGTTTGACTCCCAAGACCGAGTCCGGGCCCAGTGCCGCTGGTTCAGTGTCCATCGACTTTTGACTCTGTCGAGGCGGACACAGAATGGGCCTGGAACACTCCGGCTACTGAGTGGGGTCCTCGCCTGGGCAGACAATTGCGTCCACGGTCCCCACTGACACCATTGGCCCTGCCACGGGCCCCTTGCCACTGACCGGCTTGGGTGCCGAGCGGTGCAGGCTGCTGTTGGGGGCCGGTGCAGCTCGGGGCCGGGCGCCGAGGCTGCCGTTGACCGCACGGTGCCGTAGGAGTGGCGGGAGTGTCTACGGTCATGCCGGTGCCGACCCCAAGATCTGGACCTCGACGATGACGAGGAGCGGTACTCAACCGAAGTGCTGCTCTCATAGTCATCCCGGCGATTGTAGCTACGACTCTTCGATGCCGGTAACACTCGAGGGGAGTTCCGACCATAGTGTCTGGCGGAGCGGGCACTCGAGCCCGAGCGTCTATAACGATGGCGTCGGGATCTGCTCCTGTAGCGCCGATTAGAAGAGGAGCATCGACACCGCTTGTCTCGGTGCCTGTGCTCCCAGTGGGGAGTGGAGGACCGTCGAGACTCCCGTGCGAGCGAGTCAGCCAGTCTGAGTGGGGTGGAGGGCTGATGTGAGCTATGTGAGGACCTCGTCGAACGGGGCAGCGCACAGTCCTCGGAGCGCAGGCTATTTCTTGCCGGGGAGGGCTGGTATGCTCCCAACAGTGGCTTCCCTCGAGCGACGCACCTGGCACCGGAAGGGAGAGGATGTCACGCGTGGCCTGTGCAGCCTCTGGCGTTGACGGTATTCTCACCGCGGGAGTGGCATGCGCGGATGGGACTGGGCTACTCCGCTCAGCACGAGTCAGAGGTCTGGGTCCCGAGGGGGATCGTGAGCTGCCCAACTCGGGTTTGGCCTCACCCCTGTCCTTTTGTCGGCGCTGCTGAGTCTTCCCTTGCTTCTTAGCGGGTGAGCGGTGCCAGCTGGTGGAGGGTGCCTCGCTCCGCACCGAGGACACGGTACCCGGTGCCAAGTCCGATTGGCGCACCTGTGCCGGGGCCAACACGGATTCCATTAGCAGGGCCTGGAGCCGGATCTCTCTCTCATGTTTAGTGCGAGGCTTGAATGACCTACAGATTTTACAGAGATCGATTATGTGAGTCTCGCCCAAGCAGCAAAGACACTGAGTGTGCGGGTCACTTCTTGGCACAGAACTGGGACAAGAGTCACACGACTTGAAGTCCTTGGTTTGGAACATGAGGAGGAGAAGGGCACAGGCGCAGACCAAAGGACTCTGCTAGTGAACAATCTTCAGGTCTCAGGCATGTGAAGCGCATGCACACCTTGAGTGAATACATACAGGGACCATAACTTGAAGGAAAATGTTGTTGTCTGTCTCAGCACAGACATTAAGAAATGGATGATTACAAAAAACTGAACTATCCTCTCATCCATGCAGGTGGTGTCTCCAAGTCAAATTTGAGGTATGCTCGATGAACACCCAGGGGACAGTTTACACCATCACTAACAATACTGTATTTGTTCTGAGAATAAACAGTGGTGTGAATCTTTCATTTTTGTAAGCACTGTATTTAAAGAGAAAAAAGATCCTCCCAGAGATAATAAAGTAGACATACAGTACTAAAGATTTTCACTGAGGAATCTTACCTTGTTGAATTAGAAACTGAGTGGTAGGAACTAAGTCTGTCCATGGTGCAAAGTCACCTGTTTGTAAATCCACAAAATACTCAAAGATAACCCTGTCTCCAGCTGGGAACTGAATGCCTGTGAAGTTGTAAACAGATATTGAAGCAGAGAGACAAATCCTTAGCTGGTGCACATTAGAATTTGATGTCAAAGAGTTATGACAATTTACACCAGCTGAGGATCTGCCCAGAAAATTTAGAGATTTCATATTGTTCAACTGCCTCTAAGTGTGGTGATGTAAAGCTAAACAACTGAACAGTAGTCAATATAGCTTATTTCTCAAAGAAATGAAATATGTGTACATATATTTCTAGATTTTTCAAAAACTTTAATCATCTTTCCTTCTTACCACTCATTGCAAGGTCAAAAATACATTTTGATTATCTCTCAGGGTATGCCACACTGAAAAAAAACCCATGGCAGCGAGTCTCAGAGCCTTGTCTACTGTCTTGGGCTCATGCTATGGGACTAGAATAGCAGTGTAGACATGCTTGTTCAGGCTGAAGCCTGAGCTCTGAAATCTGTCAAGGGAGGTGGATCTCAGAGCCTGGGCTTCAGCCCAAGTGGGAATGTCTACACTGCTATTTTTAGCCCATAGTGCAAGTCTTGCAAACCAAAGGCACCAGACTGGGGCACTGATGGTATGTTTACACTCTAATTACAAACCCGTGGCTGGCCCATGCCAGCTGATTCATGCTCACAGGGCTCAGGCCAAGGGGCTTTTTAGTTCTGGTGTAGACATTCGGGCTCGGGCTGGATCCCAGGCTCTAGGACCCTGTGAGGTGGCATGGTTCCAGAGCTTGGGCTGCAGCCTGAGCCCAAATGTCTACACCACCATTAAACAGTCCCTTAGCACAATCCCAAGCCAGCTAGCACAGGCCAGCAATGGGGGTCTAATTGCAGTGTATATGTATTTAACTGACTAGCAACTCTGGAACTACATGTATTTTCTGCTGCTTTGTGAACAGTTTTTCAGCAATCAGCCAAAGTGGAAATCATGACTGGCCTAGCTTGACAACTTCACCTCTCCCAATCACAGTATTATTAATGACTCTGACTTTGTCTGAATATGATAATTACACAAATTATTTTGGGGAGAAAATCTGGGACTTTGAAAACAGAGATAATTATTCAGCTAGTTTGATCTTCTTTAGTTTTTTAGTACTAAACATTTTAGAAAGTGTACAAAACCATATATATAATATGTGGCTTTTAAGTCCAAACATGAAATTTTTTTATTTATAAGATTTGGTTCTAAAAGATGAAAACTTTCAAACTAATTATAATAGAAACACCATAAAATTAATGAATGGTATGTAGTATACTACATATAGCAAAACTTACCAATAGGTGATTCTCCTTCAAATATATCACGAACAAAGTTACTGAAACCACGTGTTACAGTTACAAGAGACTCATCTTTGGTATTTATGCCAATCAGAGACTCTTCCTCATAATCAGTCTCTCGTCTTAAAACTCCTCCAACTGCCCAAGTAAATGCAAAGACATAGAGTTTCTCTAACAATGATGGCAATTTATCAGGATACTTTTCCAAAAACCATTTCTGATCTTCCCTGGAATCAATGAGAAAGAAGTAAGTTCAGTAATATTATAACAGGCTATTACTATTGTAGTCAACTGCTTCATTGCAAGTAATTAATTTATATGTTATAAATTGTTAATATGCACCAAGTAGGTTTATAAACATAAGGACTGGTAGGGTGGCATTTTCAAAAGACATGCATGGTTACTAATACCCAAGTGGCATGCAACATATTACATACTTGTTGAGTACCAGACGGTAAATAATTCTGTAGTACTGCTGCCAAGGGTTCTCAAAAAGCCCCAGTAAGGCATGATATGTTAAAAGTATTACTCCACTTTTTCTAATACACTGTGAGGTGCTGTTTCAGTGTGAGACTGTGGTCTAACATAATTCCAAGATACGGTAGTTTGGCTGGTGGTCATGAATGGGTTGAGGGACACAGAACACGATCATACGTTATGAACTAAATAATTATTCTGGAGGAATGCACAAGAGACCGTCCTTATTGGGGCTCAGGTATAAAGTTCAGATCGTTCTCTAAATTCTTGAATTAAAGAAAACTGTAAACAATCATCTAGTTAGTTTCATCCAACATCTCAGTTTGCGCAGCCAGGCAGATATCACGAGTATACACACACTTTGAGGTTGTAGTTTGGAAAAGATTTGACATGCAGACATTAAACAAAGTTAGGGCCAACATAGAACCTCGTGGTAGCCTGTTCTTTAAGATGCAAGGAAAACTAATGTTATTTGCCAACTCCTAATTATCCAATTTGAAGTAATGCACTGTTTATCAAGGGGTTTGTCTTTTCTTGAAAGAATAATGGCTCATTGTTAACAAATCTAAATCCATTGTCTGACCTTTTCTTTTCTACTGAGGCCTTTGCAATTAGTGCTTTGGCTTCAACTGTCAGTTGAGAGCTGAGATACTGGGTCTGGGACACTTTTGAAGTACCTGCAACAGAGTCCTGACGTTCAACACCTAAAAAAAAAGTCAGAAGACATCATTTGACATATGTATGAAATAAGTTTATAAGATTACACAAACTACAGTTGTACTAATTTTAGTTTGCTAGGCAATCAACTTTGAAACTTCTCATTTGCATTACAAATTTTATGGAATGTCAAAAGGCAACTGCTTTGAAGATGTTGGATTGACATTGGAACTATGTTTTACCAAATAATTTGTTATGACTTGATCATAATTTACTCTAGAAAATAATTCAAATGACTGACTGCAGTGAAAGGTCCTTTTTTGCTTCTACCAACATAGGAATAGAAAAAAAATGTTCTACCTAATTGATGTACACATAAAACATAAACAACATTCTACACATATGAAATCTTTCAGCTTTCTATTCTTCCTCTGTACCTATAAATCTGAATGCACTGCTAGGTTACTAGTAACTCCTACAGAATATGGTGCCCTTTGTGGAAAGGACAGATAAGATGGAGAATCAGAAGACATGGAGAATGGGTGACAAGAAGCTCATCTACTTAACTACTTCTGCTCTTAGGAAGCACTACAACCAGTAACTGTGGAGCTGGTTGTTCCTCTGTAGGAAAACAGGTGGTTAAGACATTGGGGGATGACTGAGCTCATAAGGCAGAATCAAGAATGCTAGGCATGAGTTATTCTGAAGATTGACAATATACTGTTCAGAGTCAGGTCATTAGGAAATCAGAGATGGTAGTTGAACTTTATCCATTTTAATGTTAGTGGTGTTAGTTAACAAGAATAGCATTAAGTAGTATCAGATTTTTCTTTACCATACAATTGGTTGTATAATTGTAATTATTTTTTTCTCAGACTGATAGGAGTTCATTTGCATTAACAAGGACTGAAGACAAATAAAGTTGAATCATAGCATACATAGGTTTCTTTATGAGTAAAATTCACTTAGGAGAGTAAGGGCCAAAAATAGCCCCCAATGTAGCATAACTGCAATGGAACTACAGAGAGGACACTGGGGGACTCCACACTCCCTGCATGCACTAAAGCACGGGGCTCTGTGCCAGCTCCACATACAGACTTGCCATGTGAGGCAAGATGGTGAATTCACTATCACTTGGAACATTTAAAATGAAAACAGATATATTTTAAATATATGCTTTATTTCAGCTTCTGGGAGAAATTCTATGACCTGTAGGTGCAGGGGCTCAGGATGTATGGTCAGAGGGTCTGTTCTGGCCTTGAAATCTGTAAGGTTATGAGTCAACCTGTTCATTCCCTTCTTTCATGGGCTATGGGGAGAACAGGATTGCCTGCACTGCCCTTAATGTGCTCATAATACTTGCAGTTCTGCATTAAAATAATCTGCTGAAATTCCCCCCACCCCCAGTGCACAATTGATATATTCTGTGCCCACTTTCTTCTGAGTCATCAGAGATTGGCCACTGCAGAAGACAGGGCACTGGATGAGGTGGAGCAGTGTTCTGAAATGGTACAGTTAATTCTCTTTCTAAATGCCTTTCTGGTGTATTTCTCATCAAATGCTTAGGCGCATACTGATCACCAGATATGGGATTGGGAAGGAATTTTCTCCAAGATCAGATTGGCAAGGGCCTTGAGTTTCTTCTACCTTCCTCTGTAGCACGTGGCATGGTTTGCCTGCTGGGATTATCTTGGCATATCTCACCTAATCATTTCCCTGCCACTGCAGGCACCTCAGGCATTGGTGGCACCTTGGTCTTTGACTGTGGTACACAACAGTTTATCTAGACCAAAGTAGACCAAATAGAGGGGTGTCTCAGTGAAATATGGTGGCCTGTGACATACAGAAGGTCTGACTATATTATCTGATGATTCCTTCTGGCCTTAAACTCTATAAAACTATGAAACTATGAAATATACTAATATTATGCTCTGTATTTCCTAGGGACTATAATATCCAACGTACTGTATGTTGCAACGAACTTGTATTATTTACCAATTACATATCTGTTAGAATTTTATTAAATGATTGAAATAATATAAAAACCTAATCTCTGGTTTCCAAAAAGATAATAAAAGAACAACAAAAAAGTCTACATCGTTTCAAATACAACATATGTTTTCATATATATTAATCTAAATAGAATTTTTAAAGTATTTATATTTTAACTCTTCACCCAAACCAAACTAAAAAAGAACAATGTGAAATATTTACAGCTTATTAGAAATAAGTATGGAAAGAAAATACTTTATAATAGAGGCAAGTGTAAATAGGGTCCCAATTCTGTCATCTGTACTCATTCTGAATAATACTTCACTAAACAAATAGTTGCACTGATTTCTGTGTAATTATTTCAAGAATAATATACTTTTCAACATGAGCAAAGGTGGTAGAATCAGGCCTTAAGTGACAAAATTAAGGATGCTTACTTACCGTTACTACTGGAGGGTCTTCGAGATGTGTGGTCCCTATCTGTATTCCACACATGGGTTTTCATGCACACTATGCACCTGAATTCAGAGATTTTAGTAAGCAGTGTCAGGTGCTCTGCACATGCACAGTTGTTCTTATGCTCTGAACCAGGAGTACAAAGGGCGGTGCAGACCAACACCTCTCCAGTTCCTCTTCTGCTGCAAATCTAACTATGATCTGCAGCAGGGGTGACGGAAGGCAAGTAGTGGAATACAGACAGGTACCACATATCTCAAAGAACCTCCCGTAGTAACAAGTAAGTAATCTCCATTTCTTCTTCAAGTGATGGTCCCTATGTGAATTCCACATGTGGGAAATTAGGAAGCAGTGGTTAAACAGGAGGTGGATAAGAAGATGCAGATGTAATGACTGTAATACTGCTGTCCCTACAGTTATATCAGAAGTAGAAGACTCCATGTAGCGAGGCGGTGGGATATCCCACAGCCCCGCAGAGGGACAAGCCTCCCCTAGCACCAACATGGGCGGAGCCAGTAGGTCCTGCGCCCGCCCCCCAGAGGTCACGGCGCAGGACAGGAAGTAGAAAAGCCCCGCTGCAGAGCTCACTTGAAAGCAAGCCGCCGGAGAGGCCAGATGCCTGTGGCCTAGCTCCGGGTTGGGAAACGCCGGCAGGCTGCGGCCGACCCGAGGACTGGCTGGGCCAGCCAAGCCTACCCCTCGCCAGCTACCCTGAGGAGCAGCTGAGCCTACCCCTCGCCAGCTACCTGGAGGAACCGATGGTGCTGGAAACCGCCGAGGACACCGGCCAAACCCAGGTACCTTACGAGGGGGAGTCCGGAAGTAGCTTGGGGGGCAGCCGACCCTGACCTGGCCGCAGCAGGGCCAGAACCAATGTCAGTGTGTTGCGGTCAGGATCCCCACTGACACAGAAGCGAGTCTTCTGCCGCTGTTAGGGCCCCGGGCAGGGACGCAGTGGAGCAGGTGGGCCTGCATCCCCCCTGTCACCCCACTCACGGATGGCAGTCCTCCTCTCGCACCAGACACTCAGAAACCTGAGCTCCTGACTGTTTGTTTGCTGCCCTGCCCTGCCCTAGGGCCTGGGCTCATACTGAACTATTGGCTCAGCCCCTGCCTAAGGGTCCGAGCGCCTGACTGGTTGTTTACTGGCCAGCCCTGACCCAGGGCTTGGGCCCATAGCGAGCTATTGTGAGGCGGTGGGATACCTCACAGCCCCGCGGAGGGATGAGCCTCGGCCGAGCCCTTCTACACTCCACCAAAGCGTAATGTCTTGTAAAGATGTGTAAGGAGCTCCAGATAGCTGCAATACCTATTTCCAGTAATGGCAAGTCTTGCAGAGATGCCACAGAGATTGCTTGCATTCTGGTGGAATGGCCCCTCACCTCCTCTGCGGAGGAAATAAGAGCTAATTGGTAACAAACAATGTTGCAACCCAAGATCCATTTAGAGTCTCTCTGACCTCTTGAGTTCTCTGCTATGGCAATAAAAAAGCTAGGTGTCTTTTTAGTTGCTTTTGTTCTCTGTAGATAAAAGGTTAGTGCTCATCAGACGTCTAGAGAGTGAAGCCTCCTTGCCTCATCAGAGGCACATGGTTCTGGAAAAAAATATTGGTAAATGGATGGTTTGACTCATTTGAAACTCTGAAATTATTTTAGGGATGAATTTCGGGTGTAGGTGAAGAGAGAGCATCTCTTTATGAAAGGCAATCTATGGTGGATTTGCCATGAGTGCTCCCAGCTTGGTCACCTTCTGGCAACTTTTATCGAGAGATGGGACATAGAGCATGTGGCTAAAGATTCGAAAGGAGGTTTGATGAGAATCGAAAGAATGAAGTTGTGGTCCTTCACCACTGGTGGAAAGGATCTAATAAGTCCCTTCAAGAATCTAGTCATCTCAGGATGAATGAAGATAGTGTGTTCCTTGGTAGGAGAATGAAAAGCACTGATTACTGACAGATGAACCTGTGGGGAACTGACAGAGACACCCAATGTCTTACAGGTGAATAGATATTTTAGAATAGCAGAGTTCTCACTGGACTCTAGAGATAATTGGTGTGGTGACCAAGAGGAGAAACACTTCCACTTGGCTGAATAGCATCTCGTGGTAGAATTCTTCCTGCTTTGGTTGAGGATGGATTGAACCACCCAAGAACATAAGTGCTCTACCTCCAATGCCCATCCAAATACCAGGTCTTGAGTTGTTGTGGCCCTGGGTTGGGATATATGATGGTGCCACTGTGTTGCATTAGCAGATCTGGAAATGGTTGGATGTTGATGGGCAGGCGGGTTGAAATCCTCAGGTGGTCTGAGAACCAGAACTGCCTCAGCTAGCTGGATGTGACGAGGATGACCCAAGCCCTGTCACAATGGATTTTCCAGAGGACTTGTAATACTAATGGCTTGGGAGAACAGGCATAACTGAGGTGGTCTGTCCAGAGTAACAGAAGGGAGCCCCCATTGAGAATGGAATTGTGAATCTAGCCCATTCATGGTCTGAGGAAAAATGTCTCCTGAGACAGTCTGCTAGGGAGTTCTGCATATTTGGAGGCATACTGCTGAAACAGTTATGTGATTTCAGATACAACAGTTCAACAGGTTGACTGTCTCTATATGCAGAGGGAGATATCTTGTTCCCCTATTTGTTGACATAGAAGACTGTCATCATGTTGCCAATATTATCTGGATATGTCAGGACTGAATGAGTGGAAAGAAAGCATTGCAGGCCCAACAGACCTCTTTTAGTTCCAGCAGATTGATATGCAGGACACTTGCCCATATGAGCTCCCTAACCTAAAATGGAGTCATCTGTGAAGCTAATCACCTTGGGTGTAGCTGTGAGGAAAGGAATTCCCATCCAAACTTTCTCTGGCTTTATCCTTGGGTAAGAGAGGCCAGAACCTTGGTAAGAATAGTTACTTTGGCACCGATGTTGTCTTTTTCTGGTGAGTAGATAGATTGAAGCCAGGTTTGTAGGCAATGGAGATGGAGCCTAGCAAATGGAGTAATGTGGATGAATGAGGCCATGTGGCCAAACATGGCAAGGCAAGTCTTGACTGTAGTCCAAGGTCTGAGGAGGACTTCTTTTATTAGATCACCCAGGACACAGAATGTCTTGGTGAGGAGATAGGCTCACTCTAGAGCCATCCTGAAGGCATGTCAGAGGGCCAAAAAGCTTAAAATCTAAGGGATTTTTCTGAATGACTCATTCTGGAGGCACAAGATTCAAAAGTGGTATAAATGGTATTTTTGTGGAAAAACTGTTATTTTCAAGCAGTTTAAGAGAGTAATGCAAACAGTGGAAAGTATTTTTTAAACTCTAGACATGTAAGTGGCTGAGTCATTTTAGTTTTCCCCAGTCTTGAGGAAACAAGTGTGTGAATACAAACTAATTAGATGGGTCATTATATGCTCAACATCAAAGAATCAAACACCTATGAAAGGAAAAATGATTTTAAATTCATTTTAAAATGTATTTACTCACTGTGACAGAAGAGTCCATTTTTGCTCATTATATCAATAAAAGCACCAAGGATTCTGCAGAGATTCATTACAATTCCCATCTGCTGCACGGGAAATGGCTGCATTTTCTTGTGTTTATCTAAAAAATGTAGTCCTTTTTTTATACTTTTTTCAAATAAACTTTCAAGACACTCCGAGCCACTTTGTGTAATTATTCTGGAAGCTTTTAACAGCCAGGTCTTTACATAAGGTTCCCATCCCAGATTACTTGGGTCCTGTTAATTAAATCAAATGAGTTGTATAGTCTTTACAATGGATCTTGAGAAATGTGTTTGTGCTATACAGACTCTAAAGCTGGAGGCTTATTATTTTTGCACTGGCTTCAAAATGAGCAAGATGGGACACAAACAGGGAATCAGACCCCTAACTACTAATAATCATTGCATTCCCATTACTCCCCCCACCCCAGAGCAAGTGGTCAGAAAGGACAGGGAACATGCAGAGACTTGGCTCCAATCACACTACTCACTGGCTACTGTAGCTAAACTGACATTGAGGGTGCAGAGACTTGCTGCCCATACACAGCAGCAGCAAAATTACTCCCCCACTACATAGCAAAAAGGAAGCAGGGGAGGAATTTGTGATTCACAGCTGTATCCCTGAGCATAGTGCCGCCTGGTGCTACTTCTGGGGTGATGCAATTTATGCACTGCCCTTTACTCATGGCTGTGCCTAAAGTCACAATCTAGCTCTGTGAGTGCAAAATTTATGACTGAAAATTGTGACCTCAAAAATTGAGGCTGTTACTTAAAATAATACTCTACAAATATATAGCCTTCAGTGCATGTGTATTGTTCCCTCTAAAATCACTGACAGGATCATACAAAACTGGTGGTTTAACACTGTACTAAACATTAATTCGCTCAGTTTGTTATGTTGCCATTTTTGCAGATGAAGTCAAATAAATCAATAAGGCAAAAAAATTCTTATTAGAAAATAATCTATAATTTTTCTTACAGACTTACCACAAAAACCATTGCACATCGACTGACAGTAGCAGGACTGGCCTGAGAGAGACTGTCCGTTTCAAATATCATTCTGATTCCTGATGGTAAGTAGATTCTTTCACTATTCGCAAGACACAGAGTTCTGGTATCATCTAGCACAGTATTTAAGTTTTCTATCCAAACTGTGTCTACTGGTCCATCCAAGATTATCCACTGCCAATCAGTAATAGTTTTACCTACAAATAAGCATTCCTTTTATAGTCGCACTATCACACATGTAAAAAGAAGCTCTTCTGTTGCATTTTCTGCCTGACGAGAGTCTTCTGAAGTCATAAAAGCTTGTCTTACAACATGTGGTAGAAATGCAATACAGTTAATAGAATGGAACGTGTTACTCCAATAATTATCTGAGAGTGCTTGAGAAATAAACTCAGCTTTGCCTCATACCATCTCTGTCTGTCAGTAAAAGAAGATTATTGGATCCAAAACTTGCAAACATTTAACGTGTTTAATTAATGATTAAGTACAGAAAGATAGATTTTAAGTGATTACAAGTAATGAGGCATAAAAGTCAGAATTGATTACAAAGAAATAAAAGGTATAACACAACTAACACCTAACTCAACAAACTAAGTGAATTCAAAGCAAAAGTTTCTCTCACCATATGCTCCATCAATCTTACTATCTGGAGTCCTTTCAGCCAGGATCCCTCCCCCCAGTTCAGTGTTAATTTCATTGTCCTTAAGGTATTGTTGATGCTGTGAGTAGAAATGAGGGGAGAGATGATTTGAGTCCTCTCTTCCTCATTTTTATCCTTTCCCTCTTCTTTGAGAATCATCTCCAGCTGGGGATCAGGAGACAGAAAGTCTCGAGAGATGGGAACTGCCAGCTGTAAATTTCTCACTCAGACCCTTTTTCCTGCCAAAGAATGGCCACTTAACCTGGTGATGGTCCATTTGATTTTCTTGACACCTGGTTGAGGTGTCAGTTTGCTTTTTGTCTCTGAGGAACTGGTTTGTGCCTGCTTTTCTAAACTTGGAACATATCTCAGCCATGTTATACAATAGAATTTTATAACTTTACATACAATGTTGTCACACATATTTTACCAGGACAATAATGATCAGTACATTAGGAGTTTTCACATGACACCACAAGGCATACTTTGTACAAAATCCATAATAGTTTTGTAAAAAGGGTAAACATAAGGATACAGATTATAACAACTGCTAATTGGGACAACACACAATCAAATCCCTTGTACTCAATTAGCATGAGACTAGGACCTAAAGCAGCACTAGCCTCCTCAAAGAAAGAGGAATAATCATTTTGGAAAGCTTAATTGTATAGGCATGTCTTTAGAAGGTTTTACAAGTAGAGGAATAGTGCTCAGCAAACAACTGGCAGAATGATCCAACCCTAAGGAGTGGCATAAATACTAAATGCCCAAACTGCACCCATAGTTCTGAAAATTGTCATGAATATTTATGCCATATTAGATTATTCCAGAGATATATTTTAAATATTTATACCATTCCTGTTTGTCAGTCAGCTCTCTAGTAAACTCAAGAACTAATATGGGCTCTTTGAAAGAACTTTCATTGAATGGGAGATTTAAATATTTATGTGAAAGAAAAGCTATACACATACAGGGCTTTAACTTTGGAGGAATTGGGGAAACCATTTTTTCTTTTTAAGCATAACTTATTTTATAATTCTTTCATGTACATATGTGGGCCCTGAGGATTCTGTTTTCCTTCTGCTCTCATTCTATTCTTTCTTTCCTGAGAGAGAAAAAATGAGAAATTACTTACTTCATCATTTTCTTTCTGTTAGCAGTTTCTGACCTCATTCATCACTAATGGGTTAATGCCTCCCACCTATGGAATTTGGAGGCAGCCCAATGGAAGCTCCTGGACTAAGCTCCACCTTACAGCTCAGAACGCTAGAAGAGTTCTTCCACAGCTGTGTATTATAGGCCCAGCAACTGATTATTAGCAGTAAGATAACAACTTGGTATAATGTATTATCCAACCTTAAGACAATTATATGTCTAAATCTCCCTTTGGAGAAAAACTTCAATTTGTACTCCGTTCATTTACCAGGCTACCAACGTGGGTTGAATGAGGAGAGAAGCTGCTAATATAATCAAAATTATCAAGTTAGAAATTTTTCATTCTGTTGCACCACTCCTCTCCTCATTCATCACTAATGGGAAATAGCAAACAGTGAATCACAGAAGTGGCAGAGTTGGAGGGATAAGCAGACTTTTAATTATTAGGATGCCTCTTGCAGAGGAATGACAACTTAAGCCTTATCTTCACTGCTTAAAAAGATGTATATTTTATCTTTGGGTAACTAACATATGAGGTATCTCACAGTAAAAACCACAGTGATGGCAAGCCACTTTAGTTTTAACTCAAGGGGAATACTGCTGACCTTGGCTAGTTGTGGTAAAATTAAAGTGCCTTCTCTTCATTGAGTTTTACCTTGGGATAGCTCATGCATGTTAAGTTACCCTGAAGTAAAAAATACACCTATTTAGCAGTGAAGACATGGCTTTACTTTGCAAATCTTCCTCGGATGAGACATACACTTTTTCCCCCAATGCTCCTGCTGGAACCATGGAATTGGCCAGGGTCGAAGACATGATACTAGACTCTACAGACCATTACTCCAATCACACATGGCCATGTTTATGGGGCGTTTTATTTACATGTTCTGATGCACCATTAAACAGCTGTCTAAGTGAACTCAGATATACACTTTGAGATTTTGGAAATTTGTCTTCCAAGTATGCTTCTGTAAGGCTTGCATCCATAGTGAGTATGCAAGGGTCTAGAGTGAAAAGTGAGTTGGCCTTCACTATGTTGTTCATACTTATCTGCCCACAAAGGGACGTTCCAATGTAATCTGAGAATGATACCTACTTTTTCATTGTATCTGGTGCACGATTCCATGTCTTCAGAAGGAATTTCCACAGGCAAGCCAAGCCATTGGAGATAACAGGCTAAAGATGATCACTGCCAGGAAATGACAGATGCAATAAAGTTTTGGACCTTTGCAATTCATTACCAAGATGGTAAAATTATGACCAGAGCCCTGTTTTGACCCCTGGATGAGCAATTATTTGCACTGAGTTCAAAAGCTCTTCTTGATTTTGAACAACTGATGGGTATGAATCCTTTCCAGCAACTGTCTAGTCATGAATGAGTCTTTTTCTCTGGACAGAGCACTGATTGGCAGGTTCTCTAATTGCATAACTTGCAACTTCTGCTTTGCTGTTACTATTACCAGTCATTTCTTAAGACTCGGTGTGGAGGCCGGTTCAGAAAAGTGTTGTACAGGAACTGTGAGATGTCATACACAAACTCTTTTTGTCTTTGTCATGCGAGGATTTTGTTGGTTTGGAGAAAAATGTATTTAGGTTACCATGGAAGCGTCTGCTCAAGATTCTTCCCTCTACTAGGGTAACAATTCTTTCTTGGATACATGGTGTTGGTAGTGACCAATGGATTATTATGCTGGCTTTGATAGTGAGGGATCAGGTCTCTCTCTGCATATCAGCTACTCATTTCTTAATGTATACTGTGACAAAGTTCCTCCTCCATCTTGGTGGGCCCTGCACTTATTGGCGGATTTTCTTGCCTCAGAGATTCACCATGTGGGTTGGGGAACAGCCCAGAGACCTTCCCCTCTGGAAGAACCCACAGTCCAGGTCAATTGGGAGGTTTGGGGGGAACCCGGGCCCGCCCTCTACTCCAGGTTCCAGCCCAGGGCCCTGTGGACTGCAGCTGTCTATAGTGCCTCCTGTAACAGCTGCATGACAGCTACAACTCCCTGGGCTACTTCCCCCTGGCCTCCTCCAAACACCTTCCTTAGTCTCACCACAGGATCTTCCTCCTGGTGTCTGATAACGCTTGTGCTACTCAGTCCTCCAGCAGCACACCCTCTCACTCTCAGCTCCTTGCACCTCTTGCTCCCAGCTCCTCACTCTCGCACCACAAACTGAAGTGAGCTCCTTTTTTAAAGCCCAGGTGCCCTGATTAGCCTGCCTTAATTGATTCTAGCAGTTTCTTCTTAATTGGCTCTAGGTGTCCTAATTAGCCTGCCTGCCTTAACTGGTTCTAGCAGGTTCCTGATTACTCTAGTGCAGCTCCTGCTCTGGTCACTCAGGGAACAGAAAACTACTCATCCAGTGACCAGTTTATTTGCCCTCTACCAGACTCCTGTACCCCACTGGTCTGGGTCTGTCACAATACTCAAAAAGCTCCTGATCTGTAAGTTTGGATGCACTAGCTATATGTTTAGAATGATCAATTATTATTCCTGGGTGTAACATGGCTTCCTAATAGCCCCAAGTTAGAAGTAATTGCTCTTATCACAAATTATATCAAGGGTTTGACCAGGACAGAACCCAAGATGTCACACTCTAAGCAAGGATCATATCCCTAGATGATGAATCGCTTGCTACCAAGGAGGCTTTTCTTACAAAGTATGAGAAATCTTTGGTCTAAATGGATATAGCTGACACTTTGAAATTGCTGTGCAGTGTGTTCTCACTCTTATACTCTGTGGGTCTTTTGAAAGGAAGCTACCTTCTGTAGGTCTGATTGCATTTCACCGGTGGAGCTACTGTTACACCAAACTTAAGCTCCCAAAAATGAAGGTTAGCTCTCTGTAAGTAGGAGTTTTTTCTTTGAGATGGCCTCTGCATATTCACACTGATGGGATGTGCTGACCTGGTGCAGCTCAGACAGTGGAAATCTGCTAGCAGTGCCCATTGGAGCCTTGATGTTCCCCACAGCGTTCATGAATGTTCTGAGGGCGAGGCTATAAAAGGAGCAGGGCACTCTGGTCATCTCAATTCCTTCCACTATTTCCCATAAATCCCCAAATCATTAGAACTCCTGAGAAGAAGGGAAGGTGAGTGGGGAGTGTGAATATGCAGAACCCATCTCAAAGAACTCTGGTTACAGGTAAATAACCTTAATTTCTTCTTTGAGTGGCCTCTGCATATTCCTACTCTTGGGATATTTTAGCAAAATGTAATCCAAAATGTAACCCTGTAATCCAGATGGTGGGATCTGGAATCCTAATCAAATAACAAATGAAGTACTGCTTGACCAAATGTGACATCTGACCTTTATACTAATTCTAGAGAATACTATTTTGTAAAGGAGTGAATCATATTGCTGCCCTACATAGTTCTGCAAATAAGACATGTCTCTTGAAG